ACCGATACATAGGTATTTTGAAAATCATTGTCCGTTGCCTGACCGTTATTTTGAGCCCTGTTCTTCTTGTTTAATTAACTCAATTATTAACAAGGTATCGTTATCTTAATGCAGTTAAGAGTTAAGGTATGGTTTTCACACATTTCGTATTAGTTTGCACTCAGGCGAATGAGATGTTACTCGTTGGAAAAAAACTGACTGCGGTCGAAGCGTGTAACTACGGTTTGATAACAGAAGTTATTCCTCGCCGAGTTTGAAAAGAAATTAACAACAGAATGAAATACATGGCTGCGTTGCCGCCGAAGGTAGCACAAATCTGGACTTTAAAGTTATTGTTTCGTTTCATTTAACCATACAATGCTTCTCTCCATTGCAGTCGCTCTCAATGTCGAAGAAATTATGTCGCTCAGCTGAGCTGGAGAAACTTCACGATGAGAGTATTATAGAATGCGAACTGATTGCTCAAAGATGGGTCTGGGAAGAATGCGCGCAAGCAGTGATGACTTTTTTACAACGCAAATCAAAAATGTAGTTGAAACATTAAGTTGATTCTTGTTGATGAAATGTTCCATGCATTTTCTTTCTGTGTATGTTATTCAGTTTGATAAAAACCATTTTCACCAAAGTGTTAAGCGTACAAAAGCATCTGCGCAAACATCTACTTGATGTCACGTGACAACATGTTAATTAATGGCAATTATTTTTTAACAACTGCATCATTTTTCAACAAATGCGCACGAAAGAAGGTTGTTGCGACTAAGAAGTCCGTTACGCCAGCAGTAAACACTGAAGTCTCAATGACTTGAACGATACAGAACGAGTGTTCGAAATTTTCCAGCAAAAGTTTTTTTGCTATGTTTTGGAACTTGATTCAAAACGCAATTTTTTTCCTCAAAAGTAAAGATTTTAAAATCGTGGTTAAATGAACGAATATGTTTTGTTATTCAACTCAAGTTACGAATGATTTACACCAACAACGCTACAAATTCCGCTGCGTAAAGGTTACAAACGGATCATTGGGGACACAATATCCTATTTGTACAATAAATATTTGCACGCGCCATAAGTCTGATCGTAAATATACCTTGATGGTAAATCATTCCTGTAAGCTCGTCCACCATCTTCTTACGATGCCATCCAAAATATCATCGTTGCTGATGTACTTTTAAAACAAATTGCATTCCTCGTGATTTTTATCCTCAAGTTCTTGTATATTACTGTTGACCATCAACGTCTGTTTCTCGAAGGCACTACAATATTAAATATGCTACTTTACTATTTCCTGACATGGATTTTTTAAAAGTTCAAAACTGTAAATGTTTTCATCATCTGCGACGTGAACGTCCATGAATAACAATAGAAATTTATTGCATTTTCAAAGGTCCCGTGTCCCTCTCCTCTAGTTGCTAAGCTTTGCCCACCTCCCTCTCCTTCTGCTTTCTAATAGTGCTCAATCCATCTCCCTCGTAAAAATAGACAGACAAACCTGTCTAGAAACTAGTGAAAATCTCGCCAAAAGTGAATTGAGTTCCTTCTCGAAATGTTTGAAAGATAAATGTTCGGCAATAATTCCGCGTTTCCTTTGCCATGTCGCAGTCGAGTTTCGTGTTGCATAGAATAACAGACATTACCAGATTTAAAGAAAATTCACCGTAAGACAAAATGATTTTTTTTTAAAGCATCTCGGTTCTTTATAAAACAACAATTATGTTTCACGATACACTTCTTTGAGGCGAGGGGGTAGGAGGGAGTAAAGCATTTTGGGGAACTTAGATAAAGCTATTCGTAGTTTTAATTACTTTTCAATCTCACAGTTAATTTTAACACCTCAGAACATAACACATCCTCTCAGGTTCAAGAAAAGAAAACATTTAAAGTTTATATAAAGTGATCAATAGGCGTGGATACAACTCAAATACATAACATTCAAAATATGACCTAGTGCCCAGGCCTCCGTTTAATATAAACAAGTCACGTGTACCTGTGAATGACCAAATAAATTAGGTACAGTTAGAGAGCAACATCCAACTGGAGGATGACCTAACTCCACAAACTTCGTTTGAAAAGTTGCCTTTAAAAACACGACGAATATGTCAACTGAAATAAAATTACGTAATGTTGTACTGAGGAGTCACTAGGAGTCACTAACGAGTCACTAAGATCAGTTCTTACCAAACTGGAAACATTGGTCTATAAACAAGAAGAAGCGTTATGAATACGTTCCGCTTTCGCGCATGTATATTTACTTTTCATAATTGGAAAGGTCGTCGTTTAATTAGATTCGTGCTCAGTTACAATTGGTTTTTTCTATGAAATTAGATTGTCCCCCCGCTATCTAATTTGAATTAGAATTTTAGCGAATTGTGAAGTTGTTTCAAAGTAGTTTGCCACCTACTTCGAACTGCTGAGCACAAAGTAATTTTGCTAACTCGCAATGACTGTTCATGCGTCTATTTCCATAATACTATAGTTCATGCGACTTAAACGATCTCATGACACCGTTGAAATAAATGAAATGGTAATCGAGTTCCATCGGTTCTAATCGCTAATAAAGCGCTCGCAAGAAAAATGTTTCGTTTGATCATAGTGTGTGTGTCATCGTGGGGGTAACTTCATATGCTGAAAAGACAGTTAAATTTTCCATGCACCTAACTCCCAAAGACTATAGCTAAATGTGTCTATTTCACAAAGACTTTAGTTCATGCACCTAAAGGCTATAAAATCTATATATATGTATATTGTTCGTGCATCTTAACAATATAGTTCATGTACCTAACTCCCAAAGACTATAGTTCACAAACTTAACTTTCAAAGAATATCTTTCACACACCCAACTTCAAAGACTAAACTCCCAAAAATTCTTCTTCATGCACCTAAACTCGGAACGACTATAGTTCATACACCTAACTCCCAAAGACTATATTTCACGCACGTAACTCGCAAAGACTATAAGATCATGCGTCTATTTCCCAAAGAGTTTAGTTCATGCAACTAACACCAAAGAAAATAGTTAATGTATCTAATTACCAAAGACTATAGTTCATGCACCTTACTCCGAAGGACTATAGTTCATGAAAGAGCTCCCAAAGACTATAGTTCATGCACCTAACATCCAAAGACTATAGTTAAAGCACTTAAATTCCAAAACTTATATTTCACGCACCTAAATCTCAAAGATTGTTCATGCGTTTATTTCCCACTTATTGAACTCACTTGATTGGTGAATTGTATTTTCCCATGTTTTCAAAACTTTCTTAAAGGTCGTACATTCCAATTCTTGTTCTTAATTCCAGGATCACATACATATGAACTATTGACCAGACAAAATCATGATATCTAATTACAATGTGACATCACTCTTCACATCCATACCATTAGACATAGCCAAACAACACAACTAGACAAATAAAATCCTAGACTTACTCAACCTTTGCCTCTCCACTGAATTCTTCTTCTAAAACTCATACTATAGACAACTTTCAGCGAATCAATGGGGTCACCACTATACACCTTCCTCGCAAACGCTGTCGTGCAAAACCTCGAAACACAATCAGTCACCAACAGCACAGATGAAACAGATAGACTATGGAATAGATATAAAGACGATATCTTTGCCATAGTCAAGAAAGCCAAAACTGGACAAATGCTACACACCATAAAAATACTACAAAGAAGATAACCTTCACTAAAGACAAAAAAAACACAACAAGACTTAACAAACAAGTATACGGCATAAATACCCTTACAGACCAAATACTTGATTTCAACCGTAATCATTCCACACAACACAAAATAAGCAACATTCGAACACTTTTCAACAGAATTAACACTCACTGCAGCACAGAAGAAGCCAAAAAACAGAACGCAACTACTTGTTCTCATTTATAAAAACTAGTTACCCTATAGAAACTTTATAGACGAAACTATAAGCAAAATCAGTCAGAACTTTACTACTAACGGACACCTCCCGAAAGCAGACACTGCTATTAGGTCCCTGCCAATACTCTTACTATTAACTTATTTACAACCTCTCATAAGCAGACACCAAAACAATCTTCAAACAATTCTGTAGTGTTTATGGTGTTTCGAAAGTTCACTTTAGGTGGTCATGGGAGAAAAAATTTACATGAGTTTAATATTTACTGAGGAAATTACCATACACCAGCTATGGTCAAATGGCAATTTTGCACAAATTAACAAATATTCGTGGCAGAGATCGAATTTTTATATTTTCGTTGTTTCAAGAAATTTACATTGTTTTTGCTGGCATACGATAGAACATATTTCGCATACCTTCCTCCTAAACCCACTTTCCGTCATATTTTGCCGTTTAGTGTGCATTTCATAGCCGAATCTTATAACTTAGATATTTCATACAGGGACAATCCTTCACCATTGATAAGTGTCGTCCCTTTTGTGCTTGATAAATCCCGCTTCGAAAAAAATATAGATATGACGATATATTTTCGGATATTTTTGGGGTTTTTTTGTAGTGTTGTTCGCAATGATTCATAAATAGATCAAATTGAACCTTAGCCGACAATTACCCCGCACGTGTGATTGGGTCAAGATTGTCTGTCTAATACATTGTATACAGAACCATTTAAAAACCGCTATAAAGCTATTAAAACCAACAAAACACAATTAAAAACTATGTATAATAACTATATATATATCGTAACAACGAATATTTTCATATTTTTTCGATATTTTCGGTACATTGATATATCGATATACCGAAAAAACCAATATCGATAAACCGATATTTAAAAAACCCCCGATATTTATCGATAATTCGATATTTATCGATAATTCGATATGTCGCGACAGCCTACCTCGCAAGAGCCTTTATCGTCGTAAACATGCTTGGACTCATTCATGTTTTCAGTGGTTGACGAGTCCTCATCCAAAACTCTCGAGCGTATGCTAGGTGCTTCAACTACGTTCAATTTCATTAAGCTATCTTCAACCTGGCGTCGTCGTTTCTCTTCTGCCATGCTTGATTTTGTTTCAATGTTGGAAGTGTCATGACGTCTAGAGAACAGATACGGCGAACCTGACTAATGTTGTGGAAACGTCAGTAAACTCTGAACACCAACAGTGGTTCCAAACCATTTTAATTTCTATTTATTTGTACAGTAAATAAAAAATAATTTAAAAAGACTTATTCATACTGTCGCAGAATTCACTGAGTTCGTCCAGAAAATTGATCTGCACTCTGATTCGGTTTGTTTTATGGAGTTTATTAGCAATGAACAATCTACACAATCTCTCCGACTATTACAAATTTGAGTCTATTTATATGTTTACATTTGTGACTTACGTGCACTATTACAACATGAATTAATTAAGAGAGAAAATACTTAGGAAGTGTTAAGTATATACACCCTAATTTTTAATTATAATTTTGGCACACATAAAACTCTGCATGGGAACTTATAAAATCTGGCATGCAATAAAAAAAATATAAATGAAATATCCTAAATTATACAACACATACCAAGAATGAAGTTGTACTGTGAAAGTTGTGCATTGCGAACTTTCTTACTTAGTGTTGATCCGTGATCCAAGTCTGTATCAACACGATAACCAGCTGCATGGAACTTCTTTTGAATCTAAACATGACCAAAATGTCAATAAAAAAAAAGGACAAAAAAATTCCAATTCATAATAAAGCAACAATTTGTCCATAGCTGAGTTTGCATTAGCCTGTGCAAGTTCGATCTAAGGCTTACCAAATTAAATTTACCGGTTCGGCATAATCATCATATTTACTACTGACAGGAATTACTACAACCTCACGCTAGGTAAGTTTTGCCAAGCTTACTGGCAAAACTTACCTAGCGTGAGGTTGAATCTCTCAGGAAGTTGGAAATCCAGTTCAATTGTTGCACATTGATGAGACCATCTCATAGCATCAAAAATTTTTATATTAATCTATAAATTGTGATAGCAATGAAATTATAAATTCACAATGGTATACATCTGTAAACATAGAAAGCTTCATCCCCATCCCCAGGATTTATCTGCCGTTTTGACCAAAATTATTCAAAGCTTCCATCAGTTTCTAATGAAGCATAAAAACAAACTCATTTAGTTAAACAATTAAAAATATTATAAATCATTAAACATTTTCGATATTTATGACAAGACAGCTAAAAACATTGTAAAGACTGCATTTATGTTCGCTGTGAACAAATTTCCTCCTTTTGGGAGGTAAACAAACCAATCTGTATGTCAAATCAACAAATGAAAACATTCTATATTTTATTTCATTCTTGAATAACTGTCTATATCTTTGATATCCATAAAGAGGAATTGCACACGATGAAACAAATGTAACTTGATTAAATAGTTCATTGGTTTCAACCATTCAGTTGTAATGTTTGAAATGTTCAAGGTTAGAAGCCATCTTGATTTCAGCAAGCGGAGACTGAAACGAGTTAATATTTTAGTTGCAATATTAACAAATACTAAATAAAATCAATTACAAGAAAACAAAAACAATGATGAACCAAAATTGTTAAAGAACATATTTTAAGTAAAAACGACTCATGCAAGGTAACTCAAATGTTCAACTTATGATGGTGAAAATATAAAAAAAACATGGAGATAAAATAAAGCATGACAATCAATAGATCTTCACTTAGGTAATAATAGCTGCAGATCCAAATTTATAAACAGTGTGTGAAGCACTGACTAAAACATTTTGGCAATCAAATGCACTTGAAAGACTACCGTGAAATTGGCACCACATTGGGCACCACATTCAACACAACATTCATCACAACATTCATCACCACATTCAACTAAAATTTATCATTCAAAATGATAAATCAAAAAATCGTCTTTAAAACACGTTTTCCATCAAATACAACAGTAAAAAATAATTCTTAACTGTTTATTACTATTTTACAGTCCTTAAACATCAGAAAAAATGTATAAAAGTCAAGAAATTGAAGAAAACACTAAGATTTATATTACAGTGTACTTTCCATTTCTCTTAAATAGCCTATAATTTAAAAACTACACGGTAGAATTTTTTTTAAACTTGGCCAGAATATAGATAATTATATTGTCTAAAATATATCCAAAATCTGGAGGTGGCACAAAAAAATAAATGATAGAAAATCATCGACAAAGTCGGATGACACGAATGCATGTAATATGATCTTATATAATTACGCTTAGAATTCCGGTTCTAAAACAAACAAAGCCTTATAAATAAAAAACTACACGGTAGAATTTTTTTAAACTTGGCCAGAATATAGATAATTATATTGTCTAAAATATATCCAAAATCTGGAGGTGGCACAAAAAATAAATGATAGAAAATCATCGACAAAGTCGGATGACACGAATGCGCGTAATATAATCTTATATAATTAACTTCCTATATCCATGTAATTTTTCAAACAAAGGCCTATAAATAAAAACTACACGGTAGAATTTTTAAACTTGGCCAGAATATAGATAATTATATTGTCTAAAATATATCCAAAATCTGGAGGTGGCACAAAAATAAATGATAGAAAATCATCGACAAAGTCGGATGACACGAATGCGCGTAATATAATCTTATATAATTAACTTCCTATATCCATGTAATTTTTCAAACAAAGGCCTATAAATAAAAACTACACGGTAGAATTTTTAAACTTGGCCAGAATATAGATAATTATATTGTCTAAAATATATCCAAAATCTGGAGGTGGCACAAAAATAAATGATAGAAAATCATCGACAAAGTCGGATGACACGAATGCGCGTAATATAATCTTATATATTAAGTTAAGAATCCGGTTCTTTAACAAACAAAGCCTTATAAATAAAAACTACACGGTAGAAATTTTTAAACTTGGCCATATTGTAGATATTCTATTGTCTAAAATATATCCAAAATCTGGAGGTGGCACAAAAAAATAAATGATAGAAAATCATCGACAAAGTCGGATGACACGAATGCGCGTAATATAATCTTATATATTTAAGTTAAGAATTCCGGTTCTTTAACAAACAAAGCCTTATAAATAAAAACTACACGGTAGAATTTTTTAAACTTGGCCATATTGTAGATATTCTTATTGTCTATAATATATCCAAAATCTGGAGGTGGCACAAAAAATAAAATAGAAAATCATCGACAAAGTCCGGAGAATGTAGTATATAATATAAGTTGGCACCATATCGACAAACAGCCTATAAATAAAAACTACACGGTAGAATTTTTAAACTTGGCCAGAATATAGATAATTATATTGTCTAAAATATATCCAAAATCTGGAGGTGGCACAAAAATAAATGATAGAAAATCATCGACAAAGTCGGATGACACGAATACGCGTAATATAATCTTATATAACTTCCTATATCCATGTTCTTTTCAAACAAAGGCCTATAAATAAAAACTACACGGTAGAATTTTTAAACTTGGCCATATTGTAGATATTTTATTGTCTATAACATATCCAAAATCTGGAGAGTGCACAAAAATATAAAGGAATAGTATTCTTGAGAATAAACCGTGAAGTTGGCACCACATTCGACAAACAGCTCTATAGCTAAAAACTACACGGTAGAATTTTTTAAACTCAAGATTATAGAATTTTATATTGTCTAAAATATATCCAAAATTGGAGGTGCACAAAATATAAATGATAGAAAATCATCGGCAAAGTCGGATGACACAAATGCGCGTAATATAATCTTGCATAAATAAGTTAAGAATTCCGGTTCTTTAACAAACAAAGACCTATAAATAAAAACTACACGGTAGAATTTTTTAAACTTGGCCATATTGTAGATATTCTTATTGTCTAAAATATATCCAAAATCTGGAGGTGGCACAAAAAATAAATGATAGAAAATCATCGACAAAGTCGGATGACACGAATACGCGTAATATAATATTTAATAATTAACTTCCTATATCCAGGTAACTTTGCAAACAAAGGCCTATAAATAAAAACTACACGGTAGAATTTTTTAAACTTGGCCATATTGTAGATATTTTATTGTCTATAATATATCCAAAATCTGGAGGTGGCACAAAAAATAAATGATAGAAAATCATCGACAAAGTCGGATGACACGAATGCGTAATATAATCTTATATAATTACGTTTATATTCCGGTTCTTTAACAAACAGCCTATAAATAAAAACTACACTCCAGATTTTTTAATTTTAGACAATATAATTATCTATATTCTGGCCAAGTTTAAAAAAATTCTACCGTGTAGTTTTTTAGCTATAGAGCTGTTTGTCGAATGTGGTGCCAACTTCACGGTTTATACCAGAGTACATTCTCAAGGAATATTATTTCTTTTATTTTTTGTGCCACCTCCAGATTTTGGATATATTATAGACAATAAGAATATCTACAATATGGCCAAGTTTAAAAAATTTCTACCGTGTAGTTTTTTATTTATAAGGCTTTGTTTGTTAAAGAACCGGAATTCTTAACTTAAATATATAAGATTATATTACGCGCATTCGTGTCATCCGACTTTATCGATGATTTTCTATCATTTATTTTTTTGTGCCACCTCCAGATTTTGGATATGTTTTAGACAATGAGAATATCTACAATATGGCCAAGTTTAAAAATTTCTACCGTGTAGTTTTTATTTATAAGGCTTTGTTTGTTAAAGAACGGAATTTTAACTTAAATATATAAGATTATATTACGCGCATTCGTGTCATCCGACTTTGTCGATGATTTTCTATCATTTATTTTTTTGTGCCACCTCCAGATTTTGGATATATTTTAGACAATATAATTATCTATATTCTGGCCAAGTTTAAAAAAATTCTACCGTGTAGTTTTTTATTTACAGGCCTTTGTTTGAAAAATTACATGGATATAGGAAGTTAATTATATAAGATTATATTACGCGCATTCGTGTCATCCGACTTTGTCGATGATTTTCTATCATTTATTTTTTGTGCCACCTCCAGATTTTGGATATATTTTAGACAATATAATTATCTATATTCTGGCCAAGTTTAAAAAAATTCTACCGTGTAGTTTTTTATTTATAAGGCTTTGTTTGTTTTAGAACCGGAATTCTAAACGTAATTATATAAGATCATATTACATGCATTCGTGTCATCCGACTTTGTCGATGATTTTCTATCATTTATTTTTTTGTGCCACCTCCAGATTTTGGATATGTTATAGACAATAAAAATATCTACAATATGGCCAAGTTTAAAAAAATTCTACCGTGTAGTTTTTTATTTATAGGCCTTTGTTTGCAAAGTTACCTGGACATAGGAAGTTAATTATTAAATATTATATTACGCGTATTCGTGTCATCCGACTTTGTCGATGATTTTCTATCATTTATTTTTTTGTGCCACCTCCAGATTTTGGATATGTCATAGACAATAAGAATATCTACAATATGGCCAAGTTTAAAAAATTCTACCGTGTAGTTTTTATTTATAGGTCTTTGTTTGTTAAAGAACCGGAATTCTTAACTTATTTATGCAATAATATATTACGCGCATTTGGAGTCATCAACTTTGCCGATATTTTCTATCATTTATATTTTTGTGCACTTTCAAATTTTGGATATATTTGAAGACAATAAAATTCTATAATATGCTTGAGTTTAAAAAAATTCTACCGTGTGGTTTTTAGCTATAGAGCTGTTTGTCGAATGTGGTGCCAACTTCACGGTTTATTCTCAAGGAATACTATTCCTTTTATATTTTGTGCACTCTCCAGATTTTGGATATATTATAGACAATAAAAATATCTACAATATGGCCAAGTTTAAAAATTCTACCG